AGGGAGGGAGGGAGGGAGGGAGGAAGAGAAAGAAAGAGAAAGAGAGAATAATTTAGAAACAGGGTTTAATTGCATTCTCTCCATAGAAATTTATTATTCAGCATTCAAAATCAACTAGTATAACCAAACTGCTAATTTGGATGTCAAAATGTAGGAGAATTTTATTCTATATAAATAGAATAAAAGAAGATTATATCCATAGACTGTGACAGCATTTGAACAGAATCCCATGACCTTTTATGATGAACATACCCTTGTACCTGGGGGTTGTAACACAATAGTATTAAAATTATGACGATATTAAACACTATGCATATAAGTAATAATTTCATGTCCCTGTATTGTATTTAGCTGGTGAGAAAGATAATCACTTTGTGATCAATGAAATTTTCGATGAAATGCCTAGTTGAAAATAATTATTAGAACATTTATTTATTTAAATGTTTCTGAGAAAACTGAATTTTATTTACAAATTATAAAATTAGAACTTTTCCTGTGAACATATATGAAAATCATGAATCAAAATATGAGAGCCAAGAGTATAAAATTCTCAGATAAATTAGTAGATACCATCCTCACTTGCTTCTAGCAAAACTTTCTTAGATAATAAAAACAAGACCAAGCAAAGTAAAGAAAGAGATATAAACCAAATTTTATTGTTGTGATAAGGAAATAATTTAATCAATATATGTAATGATTGGAATTTAAAAAGTATAGAATGATTGTGTTATACCATATGACTCACAAAGAAGATGAATCATAACAGAAAAAGAACTGTGAAATAAAGTATTCATATTTTACAAAAATGAAAAGAAAAAAAGTGAAACGTATCTGAAAGATAACCCCTAAAAGAAATATGACAATTTTTAATGGAGCACCTAAAAGACATTCAATGAATTATTTATTAAGAACACACAATTCAAAATCACAATAAGATATCAATTTTCATACATTGATATGGATTTGCAGAGTAAAAGGAGAAGAAGACAGATGGTTTTCAGGCTTGGCAACGATGAAGAGAAATTAAAACTCTTATAGACTGCATATGGGAATGGAAGATTGTAGAAACACTTTAAAGGTTTGGCAGTTCTTCAAAAATATAAAGCTGCCATATGATCCAGCAATTTTGTTCCTCTGTATACATCCAAGAGTAATAAAAACATATGTCTACCCTAAAACTTGTATAATCATGTTTACAGTAGAATTTGACATATCCAAAAGCTAAAGGGATCAGATGACTACAAACTGATGGTTTAATTATTAAAAGTCTTGCCCCGAATGGCACTTTGACAAACATGAATTTTACTAATACATGTCACAATATGGATGAACTTGGAAAATATGGTGCTACCATCACAAAATAAAACATATTGTGTCATTTTATTTGTATGAAATGTTCATTATCTCAAATGGAGACACAAATATTACTATTTGCATTTGAATAGTGTTTAGAAGTGAAATGTAACACTATGATGGCGTTTTACAAAATTGAAAGTGTTGCATTGCTGAAACTCTGTGGACATATTAAGAGTATTGAATTTAATGCGCTAAATAATTTATGTGTTATAAATCTTGTATTTATATAGGTTTTTAAGTAAAGGGGAAAAATAACCCAATTTATGCTTAGTCTTTTTTTTTCTATGATTTAATATGTCTACATCAAACTTTGCTTTATATACATATACATATATATATATACATATATATAATAACTATAGCTTCGGTGTGATTGCTGCTCTAAATGAAGACTATAGTTTGGTTCCCATGACACATTTCTCTCCAAAGCATTCAGTGCCATTCCTGATTTCTTGTACAACATATATGTTTATAAACACAAACCATACACACATACATGCACATTTTGATCCATACATGTAAAATAAACACAATGTGTACTAAAAATTCTATGTAAAATTGTATTAATGAATATCTATTTATCCTCTATCTATCTATCTATCTATCTATCTATCTATCTATCTATCTATTATCTACCTTCTTACCTATCTACTAATCTATCTAATCTATTTTATCTTTAGCGATATATGATGTGTAATCTATCTATATCTAGATATCATCTATATATTGTCTTTATATCATAATCTTCATCTATCTATCTATCCATTTATAATCTATCAACCATATATTTTTATGTATTCAAATTTCATCTATCATCTATTGTCTATTAAATAGCTATGTATCTTATTTATCTATTATCTCTCATCATCCTACTCCATCTTTTCATCTAACATCTGTCATCTATCATCTATATATTTTTCATCTATTTTTCTTTATATCAGTAATTTATCTATGACCATTTTTCTGATATTCATTGTATATTTACAATATAGGAATAAAATTTTTTAAAAAGTGAGAGAAGTTGTTAATTGTGTTATTTAGGATAAATTGATAGTGGTCTTACAATCATATACAAGTAGGAATAGTTCATACTAAAAATATGTTTATAAAATTAAGTGAATACATGTATTTATTTCTTATAGTATATGGTAATATGACAATATGGAGTGTGAAAAAACTCAGTATGCATAATATTTATGTTTTATTAAAAATGCATAAGCAAAGAGAATGAAATTTAGAGAACATGTGATGAAAAAAAGGCTGGGTCTTGTGAGATGCTCAGTGGGATGATAACTTGTTGCTAAGTCTGATGACCTGAGTTTAATACCTGGAACACACATAATAGAAGGAGAAAACCAGCCCTCCCTAGCACCTACCACAACTTGAAGACACATGTATACATACCTATAAGAAAAATGGGTTAAAATTAAAATAGAATATTGTAATATGTTTCAATTGTAATAAAGCAATAAAATTATTTAAAATTCCTTTAAGAGTTTTCAATAAAAATATTTGTAGACTATATAACATAGTCTTCATTTTATTTTGTCAGCTGATTCTTTAGATATTTAAGAAAAAAATCCATAATAAAACATTTTTTAACAGGTTGTTGGAATAGATACTTACCCAATAAGAATTGATGAAACAATTAAAAATCATTAATACATTTTATTGTGAAAGTAATAAGCTGGTAAATAATAGAAAATTTTCATTCAGAAAATTAATTCCTTTGTCATTTTTATTAACCAATTTTTCTGTTTTCTTAATGGTTTTACAAGACACAGAAAAAGGTATATCTTTATCCATTTCTCTCTTTGTTGAATTCGTAGACTTTTTTTGCAGTTTTTGTGGTTTTATTTAAATACAAATAAAATACGCATGCAAGCCACCTTCTCATTCTCTTCACTGCGTAGCCTGGCGTTGGGATTGGTGACTCTGATGGAGTCCTCTGATGGACTCTGTGCTGCTCTTTCTACGATGGCTTTTCGGTTCTTGGGGGAAACATTGTGAGCCATCTCAGCACAGTAAGATTTGTAGCACATCAGCAGCACCTCCAGCTCCTTGACGTTGTGGACCAGAAACTTCCAGAAGCCCTTAGGCAGCATGTGCTTGGTTTTCTTGTTGCTCCTGTAACCAATGTTGGGCATCAGGATCTGGCCCTTGAATCTTCTCCTCTCCCTGTTGTCAGTACCTCTGGGTTTCCACCAGTTTTGCTTAATCTTGACATATTGATCTGACTGGTGCCAGATGAATTTCTTGGTCCTCTTTCTGACGATATCGGGCTTCACCAGAGGTCGGGGGACAGCCATGATGTTGCAAAAGAGATGGCAGCCACCTCTCAGGCAGTGTCGAGGAGACTCATAGACTTCTTTAGTGTTTAGCTTGTGTATATGGTTCTGAAGATTACTGGTTCAGTCTGCATTCTTCATACAACTCCATGTATCTGTAATGCATACTGTAAAGATCTATTGGTATTTCCTCACCTCTATGCTATATATTTCTCAAAGGAAGACAAGAGAGATAGACTGGTATGCTGTGCATATTCTGTGGTGATAGATCACTTCTTCATACAGTATTTTACTTAAAGAACATATATATTTTAGAAAAGCTATCAAATTGTCACACTGAATAACCATGTGCTATAACACTATAATTTCATATAAACTTTTAAACATCAAATAGAGGATTAAAGGGGCAATTTTTTGGCAAAGATGAGCACATGAAATTGAGTAATAAAAATCTCCTTAGGTCTATAAGAGTAAGAACTACAAATTACATATACAAACAAATAATTCCTTGATGATGTACCAGATTTCAAATACTCTGACTTTATTTAGAAATAAAGAAGTTATATAGACTCTGTAATTTTGTTTTCATACACATATAGATAATTAGGACCCTAGTGATGAACATTTACTTTTAAAAAATACTTCTTCCAACAACACAAATATTTATCTTCTGAATCAAACCCTGTAAATCCCACATATATGAGGTTTGAATTTCTTGAGGATCTGTATAAATATGATTTTAAAACTCAGAAACTTAATATTATTATAAAAACAAGTCAATTTTAAATGTTATCATCTATAAATCTGTCATAGCTTAAGGCACTATTTCCACTTTACCATGAAAGATTAAAAATGACAATATGATATTAAATTAGAACATAAGACACCATGAGTATGTTTTTATTTTGTAAAATTATTGCATTATGTGTCAAACAATATCAGTAAAAATTTTAAATAATAATTCACGTAGATCCAAAGTGATAAATTGGCTTATGAGAAAGAATGTTATAATAACCAGAAGTTTAAATCACTTTGAAAACAAAATGCACATTGAACAGATGTAAAAAGCATGATCAGCACAGTTCAGTTTTAAAATTTCAGCAAATCCCATGCTTTTACAAACAATGATAATGCTATATTTGTATGTAAATAAATTTATACATTAAATTATAAAATAATATCACAAATATTGAAACAAATATACAAAAGCTGTAATTCAAATCCAAATTTTAAAAATTACTCAAATGCATTATTTTGCTTAAATTATATAATAAATCATATAATATATAATATAATTTTGTATTATATATTTATAATATGTTTAAATTATATAATATGAATATATAATATATTTTAAATATTTGCATGTATTTATATTAATATAAGCATATGATATGAATATATAGTATAAATATATTATGAATATAAAATCTATAATATTATGTGTGATATTATATATAATATATGATAATATTAAAAAGAAGTAAGCATTGTTTTCATAGCTAAATGTGCTGGAATGAAAAACATAAATCATAAAAGTTTTTAAGGTAGATAATTTACATAACATTCTAAAATATATGTTATATTCTTTTTCATCGGCAATAGGTTAATTTCTCAATATGTCCAAATTCCCAATGAACAGATATTTTAAAGTACTATGGTTAAATTTTACTGAGTAGGTAGAAGTAGATTTGGATTTAAACAAGAATTATCTCTTGAATTTTTAACCTCTCCTTCAATTTTGTAGAGTTTTATTGCTTTAGAGACATGTTACATATATTAATATTAATTTTCAATTTTTTCACCTTACTGAAATCATGTATTATTAAAAATATTTTGATATAGCACTTAACTCTTTTGCTTGACATAATATCTTGACAATTAGTTGCTTTTATTTCTTCCATATCTTTGATCACTCTACATATTATTTTATATCATTGTAAAAGAACAAATTTGAAATTAATGTCCTACTTAATAAATATAAAATATCATCTATTATTTATCTTCTTTAAAATTTACTAGTCAATCAGTTTTTTTATGACAAGTAAGTTAACAATTAACAAAATATAACCCAAAAACATTTTTCATTATTTTCTATATTTGTGATTATGTATTTAAGCCAAGTTCTCTCTACGTAGTCTAATGTGGCCTCAAACACATAATGATCCCACTCAAATCTCTAGAATGCTATCTGAACAAACATATCTAACAGCGTGGTATATATTTTCTAAAAATCAGTACTTAGAACCGAACTTGGAAAGATTGTATTTACACTTACAAAATGATTTGAAGTAATACAATAGTAATTATTTTAACTGATGAATAAGGAAATAAAGCCTAAATAGAGATCTTATTCTATTTAAGAAGAAAAATTATATAAATATGTCACCAATATTTTCTGTTTTAATATAGAAATAAAGAGGTAAGTTGTGCTTTATCCATAAATTTAGAAGTCTCTAAAATTCTATATGATGTTTTAGGAATAAACATTTTAAGTGATTAAATAACTATGTAATTACAATGTTTATTCCATCACATGCAATGAACAAAACTAATGTCTCATGAATGGAAATACATGCAGATTAATTAAAATGCATTACAAATTACAGTCATAATAACTGATTGTTTTAACTGGATGAGCATTTCACTCACCTAGGGAGATGCGTTTCATGGTATGCGACTTTTGTTTACAGTAATCCAGTGACGATGCCTTGAACAACTGCTGTGTCTCATTATTCTCACAAAATGATAATAACAAATACAAATAGAACTCACATGTATTTGAGCTGGCATAAAGAAGCATTCACAAATACATATTCAACATATATTCATATAACTGCTTCTACACGTTTTCCTAAGGTCATTAAAATATGATTGCTTATGAGAAAAGTGTGGATGTTTCTTTGATGACGGGTGAGATCTATTTTTATCTGAAAGACCTAGAAAGCAATTGTGGATTGCATTGATATTTGAACATTCTCAAGCTGCTAATACTTCACTAACCCTGAGTAATTGGCTAGGTTTTCATACCAGTAATGGTTTCCTTTTTGTTGAACAGTTTTTAAGACCATTAGAGACCTGTTGATTAGAAGAAGGCTGTGTGCCGGTGGCATGCTCTGAGAGTTATCACACCATGGTGGTCTTCATTGTGCTTCACAGGCATGAGAGCTGGGTGGAAACTACATCAATCAAAAGGCAAAGAACAACTGTTGCTTTGGTGCTCAAGTCCAACAAATAAATTTACAAGAAACATCTGTAGTTATATTTAGGTTTTATGAGTCAAAGGGGAAGAGGTAGTGGAAGACTCATATGAACAAGAGGAGCAGAAAGTATGTTTTAGATACCATCCTCTAGATGTCAGAGAATGTACACATATAAATTCTCACCAACATGGATGCCTAACAAGAGCTGAACAAGGACACATGTAATAGACATGCTAACATTAAATAGAGATATTTCATGGTGCATAAACCCTATGCTAAGAACAACAGTCAACTAAGAAATGCTGAGATTTGAAGCAATGGTCTTCTCCAAGGGAAAAAAATTCAGATTAGTTATTCAATACCAAGGAATCATCACTGAGAACCTATATATTAAAGTAATATTTTATGGAAAGTTTAGGCTAAATATGTATTTTTATGTTTTTCCTTATATAGATTTTCTTATATAGATTCACATATATGTATATGCTTCTGTACAATCTTGTGTGTGTGTGTGTGTGTGTATGTGTGTGATATATTTATGATCACACACACATACAATCACATGCACAAGGTTTTAGTTAGGGTTTCTATTACTGTGATGAAACAACCTGACCAAAATCATATTGTGTAGAAAAGGCTTTATTTGACTTACACTTCAAGTTCATAGTCCATCATTGAAGGAACTCACAACAGGAACTCAAACAAGGCTGAAATTGTAGGCAGGAGCTGATGCAGAGGGCAAGTAGGGAAGCTGCATACTAGCTTGCTTTTTGTAGTTTGTACAGCCTGTTTTCTTATAGAACCCAGGACCACCAGGCCATTGATGGTACCACCCACAATGACCTAGGCCCTTCCCACTGATCACAAATTCAGAAATGCCTTACAGTTGCTCTCATGGAAGCATTTTCTCAACTGAGGCTCCTTTCTCTCTGAGGATTCTAGTTATTGTCAAGTTGCTACACAAAGCTAGTCAGTACACATGCATGTGCATTATATTTATATGTATGTAAGCATATACATATACATATATATATACATAAACATATATATGGCAACACAAATTATAAATAAGAGGTTATGAATTTGAAAGAAAGCTGAAGGAAAAGGATGTAGGGGAAGTTTTAGAGAAAGAAAAGGGGAAATTTTCAGTTCAAATCCATGAGGAGCTTTCTATGAAATTAATCTTACTTAGTATATACCACCCAAGTATAATGCATCCCTAAAATTTATATAACAAAAATTTTTATTATAACAAGGGTGCTGGAGCTAAATGCAGTGACCTAAAACACAAGAGTAATTTTATGTCACATAGATGCCAGTTTCATACAGAATGAGATAGTAGAATCTGTAAAAGATACTATGTAGCAGTGAATTAAAACTGGCATACATCTTTGAGACCCCCATTAATGAAGGATATTCCTTCTTCTTTCTTTCTTTCATTTTTAATTCTCATTGTTTCTGTTTTTTATTATTGGTTCTGTTTTTTATTATTATTATAACACAAAAAAATACCAATCCAACTTCCTACTCTTTCCCCTCCTCCCAGATCCCTTTCTTTCCCACCACAGACCCTTCCCTCAACCCCTACAACCCTAAGGGAGTGTCATGTACACCACCCTGTGGAAAGTCCAAGGCCCTTCTTACTACATCTAGGTTGAGCAAGATTTCCATCCAAAGAGAATGGGATCCCATGAAGCCAATATATGCAAGTAAAGACACAACAGATGGTCCCTCATTCTGTCCCAGTTGTCAACCCCCTTCAGCAGGGCTTGATTGTTCCCATGCTCATTCACTCCCAGTCCAGTTGGAGTTGGTGAG